TACAAAGCTCCTTCCTCACAACAACCCTATGAAGATGACAATATTCCGATGGTTCTGTTAGCACTTCGCTCTGTAACTTCCCTCCAACAACAGACATTACAATCCAATCATGCCTGCCCATTCTTGCCCTTGTCCTCCAATAAATCAGCCACAGGGAAGCTTAACATCCTCTTCGTCACTTCCTTCTAATATTGCAAGGATACCAATGGAACACTCTATCTGCCATCCCTCATTTGACACATGAATTGCCTATATTTTCATTCTAGCAAACAATTCCCTGATAATGACATCTTTTGCTACTATTCTTCTTCATTGGTTATATGTTGTAGCCTGCTTACATCCACCATTCTCCCCTCCAGTGATTGACCACTACATAACATCCATCTTTAATTCTTCAGAGACCATTATACTCTATGTATCATTGACATATAGCAACAAAGATAAAATGTTGATATTGAAAAGGTGGACCTTTGCTTTCATGGGGAAACTTGGGGTTATTAAATGAGTTTTGCAATTTCCTAAGAGCAACCATGGCCACTATCTTCCTCCTGCTCAACTCTGGAACTAACTCACTGTCCTTCCATTTTTTCCCCCCATTCAAAAGTATGCAATAATCTGGGCAAAAGACAGTCTTTATCCATTTGGTCTTTCTTGTGTGAATGGTCATCTCAAACTCTTTTGAATGATTAAATATTCTTCCAAGAGTTATGGGATTTCATGCAATCAGCATAATGTCATCCACAAAAAGTAACATCTGGAAGAACAAACTATTTGAAGGGAATAATTATTTCTACTTGGACTGTGCTCTGGATCTCCTCCATCACAGTGGTAAGCATTTATGGTAAACATATATTTTTCTTATTTTGTGCCCCATATTATGTTTGTAATTGGGTCATTCAATATGATTATTTCAGTTACATATTTAATGGAAGCTTCAATATTTTTCATATGTGACATATTTTTTTGGAAAAAAATCCAGTTGTATAGTGGCACACTGACTGATACAGACGCAATGCATTGTTGAATACTGCTTGTGAAAACTTGTTTATTTCCTACTCCTGCTTATTCCTTCATTTGGATTATCCTCAGTTTGTATATAGACAAAGCTCATAGTGATTTTGTATGTAGTAGAAGCATTGTTATCCCATTAACGTGTGAGGAAATGGATGTTCTGGGAAACTAAACAGTCATACAATTAAGCGTAGAATTTCATATTTGAGCCTAGGTCTCCTTGCTTAAAATTCAACTTTCTAGTATACTATTCTGCTGCTCTAAAATTTATCCTGATTTTATGGGAAATTTATCATCATGGAATTTAAGGAATATGAAAGCTTTGTCCAACATTAATATAAATTCTCCAAATGGTGGTAGCAGATTGAAACTGCGCTACTTAGACAAAGAGTCAGTAAGGGAGAGCAAAGTAAAAAAGTAGTGGTCTAGACAGTTTATATGATATATCATATATCACAAGAAGCTCTAAATGGAAAAATGACCTAAATATGAAATATCGCATTATTTTAAAAAATTTAGAAGAGAATGAAATGACATATCTTGCAGAATTATGGCTAGAAGAAGTCTTAATAGATTATAAGATAGAGGTAATCACAAAAGAATAAACTGATCCAATTATATAAAATTGAAAAGCTTTTGAATAAGCAAAGTCAATGCAGCTAGAATTTAAAGATACATAATTAATTGGGAAAAATCTTTGCAGCAAACATACTTGATAGAAACAATTGATATCCAAGATCTTTAGGAAGTTGATATAAATATATAAGAACCAAGAGCCACTCTCCAGTGAAAAAGTGATTAAAAGATGTGAACAGTGTATTTTCAAAAGACAAAATACAAGCCATTAATGAAAAATGAAATTATTTCAAATCACTAATAAAAGAAAGAAATGAAATATCTCTGGAGTTCCAACTCACACTCAGTAAATTGGCAAATATGATAAAAAACAGAAACAGTTGCTACCAGAAGAGCTATAGGAAACCCATACACTAATACCCTATTGTTAGAGATGTGAATTGGTCCAATTGTTATCGGATGCAATTTGGAATTAAGTTTTAAAAATTCACTAACAACACAATTTAGCATTAGTAACCAAAAAAAATCCCAGGAGGTTGAAGACATAGGTAATTATCTCATATAACAACAAAGTAGCAAAAGAACTAAAAGGTGCCTATAGATTATGGAATATCTGAACTAATTACGCACATGAATATAATAGATTATTAGGCAGCAAAAATGAGGAATATAAGGGGCAGCTAGGTGGTGCAGTGGATAGAGCACTGGCTCTGAAGTCAGGAGGACCTGAGTTCAAATGCAGCCTCAGACCAAACACTTGATACTAGCTGTGTGACTCTGGGCAAGTCACTTAACCCCAGTTGTTGCCTTAAAAAAAAGGGGGGAGGGAATATAAAAATTCAGAGAAACTTGGTAAGACCTATACGAACTGATGCAGAGTGAAGTTAGTAAAACCAGGAGAACAATTCACATGATGAAACAATAGTATGAAAGAGAACAATAATTAAAAGACTTCAGAATTATGACTGATGCAGTTATTAAGCCTAACTTCAGAACACTAATGATGAATTATGCCTTCTACCTATTGGAGTAAAGGTGTGGAATGGACCATACATTTTCAGACATGGCCAATGTGTTGAGGGCTTTGTCTAATTATGCTTAATGCTATTATTTTTTAGTTCTATTTGGGTGGGATAAAGAAGTTGGGAAAATCAGTGGGAAGTGTGAACAATGCAAAAAAAGACATCAGTGACACATTTTAAAAGGCAAAAATAAGGGGCAGCTAGGTGGCGCAGTGGATAGAGGACTGGCCCTGGATTCAGGAGGACCTGAGTTCAAATCTGGCATCAGATACATAACACTTATTAGCTGTGTGACCCTGGGCAAGTCACTTAACCCCATTGCCTAACAAAAAAAAAGGGCAAAAATATAAAAATGGAAGAAAGGAATGAATAGTAAAAAATCTGAGTATTGTAGGCCAAGTGTCATATTCTAGTTCTGACTCTACCACTATCTTGTGGTGTGAACTAGAGCAATTCACTTTACTAGTCTTATTAACAAAATTCTTTAATTAAAATTTATCTTCAAAATCCCTTCCATCTCTAACCCGGGTCTGTATATAGTAGATAAACTGTCTACTATATTCAGAACACTATACTAAGTTGCTTTAGGAGATACAATTGATTTTAGGTCCCCAAGTTCAGCTTCAAATAGATGCTTTCTACTAACCTCAGAAAATGCTATATATCTGTTTTCTTTTGGTAAGTAAATAGTACAAAAGAGGCAATCTTTAGGTGTTTTCTCCATCTTGGTGCTGAACTACAGATTCCCCAGGGACAGGAACAAAATGCTTAGCTAGAAGCCAGAGTGTCCTTATTTTAGTACTACATGAGAGACAACTAATATCACTGGATTTAGAAGTGTTGTTGTTGGGTTTTTCCCCTTATAAGCCTAGTGGAGGGCATCTGATTTAAAAAAAAAAATTAAAACTGAAATATAAAAACCTCCTTCTCTTTCCATAGCAATAAATCCATTCCTTATACCTGCTCATTGATAATGTATCAATGCTTATACATCTCCAGCACAGATTTCAGTGTAAATTGCACTGTTCTCAGCCAAATTCTACATATCACACACCCCAATCACACCCATTTCCTACAGCTGTAATGAAACCTGCAATATATCAGGACTACATGCACTTGCAGATATTTGCTGACGTTACCAATTTCAGAAAAAAGGATCACAAACTGATGCTGGTGTCCAAGGACCGCAGCTGCCAAGAAAGAGGAAAGACTTGACTTCACAGAAAAGAGGAGCCAAAAACAAACAAACAAAAAAAACCAAAATAAACAAAACCTCAAACATGCTAAACACTGCTGGGGAAAAAGCACTAACAAATGCTGAAGTCATATGCTGTATTTGTGACCCATTCTCCTTCCTTTAGGAGCAGAGGACTCATTAATATTTTTTCTTTCCTTTTAAAAGAAGTTTATAGGTTTTCAATTTGTTCAATTTATGCTATATTTATTTTAAGACTATACCTCAAGATAGAATAACTTTCAAGATAGTCAATATTAGACTTTGTAAATAAAAATTATCAGAGCCCAAAGTCAGGCTGCATCAAAACTGTAACTCAGAGATTTTTCATATGTATGTGTATATATCTACATAGATATATATACAGATATACAATAAATTGGTATTTATAGAAGTAATGATAACTCTTCTACAAAACGCTTTAAATTCTACAAAGCTTTTTCTTCACAATAATCCTGAGAGGTAAGTAGGAGTTTGTTTTGGGGGGTTTTATTGGTCTGGTCTTCTTATTTCATCTGCTTAAAAACTCCCCCATATATAAACTCCCTCCACTGACACAGGTCAGCAACTCATCATTATTTAGAGTACTAAAGAGTTGCTCCATACACCAAGAGAAAAAGTGATGGTCACAGAGCTACTATCTGCATAATATAAGTAATTTCATATATAACATTTTTGTGTTCTTTGTGTTTTGAAATGTTTGTTTGCAGGAATTTGCTTGCTTGACTGAATATTTGTAATGACGGTTTTCTTTTTTTGTCAATTGGGGAAAAGATGAGGGGAGAAATAAATGTTTATTTAATTGAAAAAAATGGAAATGTTTGTCCATCATTGTTAAAAATCATAATTTTATAAAAAATGAAATTTTAAAAGTAAATAATGGAGAAATCATTAAACACATTTTGTGATTTCTCAAACACATTATGATCTCATAGATATATATGAAAGAAAATACACAGTTGTGTGTACCCATCCCCCAAATGTCTCCATTTATCATGACATCACAATCTGAATTTGCTCACTACTCCATAACAGCATCACAGTTACTTACTTGGGATTTTAACAGTCATGGTTTACTAGGACATATAACAGCAGGAAGAATCCTACAAGAAACACCTCTTTAAAAATACAGACATGCTGATACATATTTATCTTACCTTAAAGCTTTTAGTCCAAAGTACATAAAAAGCTCCTTCCCCAAAGTTTCTACACCACTGTAAACACATCCATTAAGCAGTCCTGGGAAATTCCAAGAGGAATCTTTATTACTGTTCATTGGAGCAATCTGGTAGGAAACACACATATACACATACACAAACACAACAACATTATAATTCAATTCTTAAACATATTTATATTGCTGCATGCACAGGTGCATCTAAATGAGGTGAGATCTTCTCCAAAAAGTCAGGTAATGTAATCAGCCGTTTACAAAGAGAGGAGATCCTGCCAAATTGCTATGCAATCATTTAAAAAGAGAAGACAGAAGAATTGGGGGGTGGGAGGAGTAGTTAGCAGACAGCTGGAAGAATAAACTGAAAATTCTTGTCATATAATTCGTTCTTTCAGGGCCACGATTCCGAGCATGATTTTTGTTGAAAGAAAGTTGAAAGCTATGTGAAAATTTTGTGTCTGTATATACCAACATGCACACACAAGTACACATATATACTCTCTCTCCTAAGGTAAGATATAAAAATATGCCTTCCAATCCATATCCCTCCTGAGCTGTATTTCTCATAGTGAAGCCAAGAGATTTAAGGGCCTTGTGGAGACTGGTGCTATTGGCTCTGAAGTTATTGGGTGGTGGTAATGTCTGAATAAAAAACTGGACTCTTTTCCCTTCCTCTCCTGCTACCAAGGTGATATAGGTCATAAGATTGCAGTAGTTCTCAAAAATTTTCCAACCTATGACACCCAAGAGATCTCTCAGAAGCCTCCATACCTACCATCACTCATTCCTCCCCACTCCCACCCTTTCCCACAAATTCCCTTTAAAAAACAGGCCCAAAGCAGCTGACTGATACACAATTCTAGGACAGAGAATACACAGCCTTGGAAGAGTGGCACATTATTCAGAATATCCATTTACTAAATTCTTTTTTAAAAAAAATAGCTAATCCAAAGATAAATTTAAGACTAGTTTTCATTTAATAACTTAGAATTATAGAAATTTAAACTGAAAACAGATCATCAAGATCATATAATGCAAGTCTTTTGTTTTATAGATGAGGAAACTGAGACCTAAAGAAGTTAAAATAAAGGTAGGGCTGGGACTAAAGCCCAAGTCTCCTGACTCTCCTTCCATTGTTCTTTTCACTACACCAAACTGCTAGCTCCAAATTAACCACGTTTGAATTAATGAGGTCTTAACCACAAAGACTTTAAGGAGAACTTTGAACTGTTTTCTTAACACTTAAGTTCCATAAACTCTTGTCAGCTTTTATTTACTTCCAGTGAGAGCTAAGTTCCAGCACCACTTGTTCTCTGTTCCTCATAATTTGAAGGGCTCTAGATTCAAAATACCTGGGTTCAAATCCTGTCTCTGACACATACTCTACATGTATGACCTTGGGTAAGTCAACTATAGTTTCTGGACTTCAGTTTCCTTATTAATAAAATGAGGGGGCTCTAAAGTCCCTTCCAAATCTAGATCTGAGATCTGGAAGAGCTATTTTCTACTTCCCCGGTGAAGATTTTGTCATCAGCTTATTGACTGAGAAGGTACTGTTGCTCAATAGCCCAATATGAAATATGATCATATTTTTCAATAGAACTCACAACTAACCAGGAATAATTCAAAAATTAGCTGCTGGAAACTTATCTTGGCCCAAGCTATAAACAATTAGACAATGAACACTTGACTTTCTCATGATGCCCTTTGTAATTCTATTCAGCAGTTAATATATTACTTGACATTTACACTTTTCCCCATCCCTCCTTTGTCATACCTAAGTATGACTGAGAGAGGTTCCCCTTACCATTTTAGAATGGCTTAATAACAAGAAATCTTCAAAACAACATACATTTTTGGAGCAACGCCATATGATTTATTGTGCTGATTACCATTTATCCTGCCTATGCATGGTTGAACACGGAGAAGACAGACTTTCTCATTGCAGAGTAAGGCTTTTCCATAGATAAATATCTCAGCTCCAGTGCAAGTCACATTTTTTCTCACATATGGAAAAAAAAAATTAGTTGGAGAAATAGAATTGTAAAGGCAATGAAGGATCATTTCAAGGAAGGGACAACTACAACAAGAACAGAATGAAAATATGCTGTTTTTGAACCAGGAGAACAAATTATAAGAGAACATCAATCCTGTAAAGACAAATAATTTTGACAAGACTTAGGAACTCTCATCAACACAATGACCAAACATAATTCTGGAAGACTGATGACAAAATAAGCCACTTACCTCCTGATAAAGAGCTGATGGACTCAGAATGAAGACTGAGACACATCTGGACATGGCCAATGTGGGAATTTGTTTTGCTTGACTATGCATGTTTTTAATGTTGGTTTTTTATTTGTTTGCTTTCTCAATGGAAGTAGAAGGTAAATGGGTAGGAAAGAAAGCAGATTTTTGCTGATTGAAATAAAATTATTTTTTAAAAACGTTGCTTTTGTATGGTCTGTTTCCTGTCCCTGTCCCCCCCAAAAGCAACTGAAAAGAAATCAATCATCAACTACAAACCCATGTCCTTTTTTCTCATCGCTATAAAATGAATAAATACATTAAGTCTCTATTATTGTATTAATTTTATTAATGAAAACATGAGAAAGGGATAGGTACGCTTTCAGATTGACTTTTTCTAGCAGACCACGTTTGTATGGGCACACAAACTGACTCAGAGGTGTAGGTCCTATCGTATATATTGTATATTGATTTCAAGCAAGCATTTGACTAGATGGAATGTGAAATATAGCCTTTCAAGCTCTCTGTCACTGGCATGTGTCAAAATCATTATATGGAAATTATTACAGGATATTTCTTCATTTCTTCATTCATCTCTTGATGATGAGGTTCTCTATTCCTAGATGATGTATTAATTGTACTGAACCTTAGAATGTTATATATGCTCCTCAGAGAAATCCCCAATCATACAAAAAAGATCAGTGTAACCATCCACACCGAAAAATAAAGTGGATGAATGAAGACGATGACATGCAACTGAATGAGCAGCCTGAACTAATCAAGTAGCATACTGAATTGGTTTTTCTATGTGACATTTTGGATAATAAGCACTGCAAACGAATAAAATGAAACTGAAGAGGAAGGACATCATGGACTACCTGTGTGAAAATGAATAATTAGTGCTCTCATTGACCTCTAACTTCCCACCACGGCAAAAGACCATCTCTTTCAGCCAATCTTCCATTAATAATGCCATGGGGCTGCAAATTATAAGGCTATTATCAGAAGAACTTAAATTCCAAACAAGCCCCTAGGAAATGGAAAGAAGCATGGAGAGACAAGCAGACTGTAGCTTGTCACCAATAGTTAACTTGTACACAGGGAACAATATAAAGTATTATCAAGGATGTGTATGATCAACAAAGGAGGCAGATTGATCATGTGAGCTGACAGAGAAAACAGGGAGGCAATTTCCATGGCCTAGTGGAATTGCTGAGATACTAAAACAATAAGAACAAAGGCTTCTGAATAATTGATCTTCTATGAAAGATTAATAGAAAAACCTCAACAAGAATTGCAGAAGGCATGGAATGAACATGATTTGCATCAGTGGAGGGAGTACTTCCACTAGAAGTCATGGATGCATCAAAGCAAGGGAAAGAAAGTCGCTGATATGGTTTTCCTTGATACGAGTGTGCTTTAATTATGTAGATTTCACTTACGCTAGTCTTTATCTGTTCTCTTTTTTCTTGATGTTTCAGAAGCAGCCCCACTGACGTGGAGGCAAGATAGAGGGTCATGGAAGAACTTGGGAGAGTAGGGACATTCCCTCCAAACCCTAAGACCTATTAGGAAGTGATGGATGGCACCAACAGGGAGCAAATCACAGAAATGCTTAGAACAGTGAAGGCTGGGCGCAGCTAGGTGGTGCAGTGGATGGAGCACTAGCCCTGGAGTCAGGAGGACCTGAGTTCAAATCCAGCCTCAGACACATAATACTTCCTAGCTGTGTGACTTTGGGCAAGTCACTTAACCCCAACTTCCTCATTCAAAAAAAAAAAAAAGAACAGATAAGGCTGGTGGCAATGACTCACCACATGCCTGTTAGGCCTTCTAGGATTAGAAACAGGGGTTTGCTTCTCTGCTACAAGAAGGAGAGGTCCCCACGGCCATCTTCCCATACCCTAAATCAGTGTGATCTTTTGGAGGAATATATACTACACACAAAAATAGGCTCAAAAATAATGATTATTATATTATGTTTACTATATAATGGTGGTTATTCTTTGAACACACTAAGAGATTTGTCCCATATTGGCTAGGCCCCATGAAAAGGGACTGGGTTACCTCTACTGAGGAACAGAACTGCTGAGAGCTACAAGCTGAGCAGTAAAACCAGGTGACACAGAGCTTTTCCTGGAGGCAAATGGAACTGCTAAGTGACTAGACCAGGGAACAGAGAGGAGCTGATAGTAGTCTAACTAACAGAAGCTGCCAAGGATGTCAATGACAGCAAAGTGACTATGAAGTGCTAGAAGTGAAGGGAAACTATAGCAGAATAATGGAAGGTGCTGCACGGAAAGAACAATTGGAAGCACTGACTAGAGATGCCTGCTGAGAGCAGCAGGGTCTGAAGGCGGCAAGAAACACAGAGCAGAGAGCAGCAGGGATGCAAAGGCACAGGCATGTAACACCCATAACTGGAGGCCTACCCAGCCGGTACTGCGAGTCACAAGCACTTTCCAGGTCTCCAAAGGGGAGACACTGTCAGGAAATCTTTACTCTTCGTTAAGGTACTGTGTCTTGTTCAAAATCAGGTATGGTCCTATTCATTCCAATTCAGTAATTCCTAAAGCCCCAAACATATTAATTTTTATAACATTCTGTTCATAATGTTATAATCACTGTCTTCCTGGATATATTTATTGAAGTCTGAAAGAGGTTAATTCAAATCACGGACAGTTATATTTTCCTTTAAGTATTTATTTAGATATTGTATAATTTGGAAAATATATATTTAATATTGATTCTGTTTCATTATCTATAGTACTTTCCCAACAAGGAAAATTGGGAAATTTTCAGTTATTAAAAAATCTTTTTTTTTCTTAAAGAATTATATCATTTTGAAATAAATTATCCTTCAGTACAACTGATCTCTTTTTTGGCATAATATCATATTCCAATTTCTACTTTTATTCACTGTTGATGGCGAGTGATTTTGTTTTTCTTTTTCGGTGAGGCAATTGGGGTTAAGTGACTTGCCCAGGGTCACACAGCTAGTAAGTGTTATGTGTCTGGGCCACATGTGAACTCAGGTCCTCCTGACTCCAGGGCCATTGCTCTATCCACTGTACCACCTAACTGTCCCTTTTATTTATATTCATATACATACATACATACATGTGTGTATGTGTATATATACACATATACATACATATGTATACACACACACACATATATATACATATACACACACACACACATTAAAAATTAGACTGAAGAGATACTTTATGGCAAGAGTTCTTAACATTTTTGTATGTCATGGACCCTTTTGGCAGTCTGATGAAGCCTCTGCTCACCTTCCCAGAATCCATGTTTTTCAGTTTTCTTCTTTGTATTATCTTCCCCCATAAGGACATAAGCTGAAGAGCAAATACTGTTTTCCTTTTTCCTTGCATTTATATTCCCAAAATTTACCCCAGTTCCTAGTATCAACATGCAATAAATATTTGTTGACTTGAATGTTTTTAAAGAATATACATAGGATTATAAAGAAAACCAATTATGTCAAAATATAGTTATCAAAATATATTTTTTTTAAATTTCACTGATCCAAGCTAAGATCCCATGTTATATGGAAAATAGAGAACCAGAAATCCACTGATAATTACCAATAACTCCATTTCTTTTCTTGTACCATGTTATTATTTTTCTTAATCTAAAGTTAAACAAATGGTTTTTAGGATGCTTTTTGTAATTTAGGCTTCAATTGCTTAGTGCAATGGTATGAGGAACGTATTATGTGGTTTCCTTAAGTATGCTTTAAATGCTGCTCTGTGGAATAATAATGTTTCAGACATATGGCAGAAACCTTTTAGCATCTTCAGCTTTCTGTCACAAATGCCTAGAAAACATGGGATCTGTCTCATGCTTCTTGACCTCTCTGCAGCCTTCCACACTGCTGTTTACTCTCTTCTCCCTCATAGTCTCTTCTCCCTAGCTTTTCCCCACACTACATTCTTTCTCATTGTTCTCCTCCTACCTATCTGACTACTTTGTTTCAGTTTCTTTGCTGGATCTTTATCTACATCACTCCTAATCACGGGTGTCCCACAAGGCTCTGTCCAGGGTCATAGTCTTCTCTTTACCGTTTAAACTGCTTCACTTGGTGATCTCATCAGCTCTCATGGATTCAAGTATTCATTTGATTCTCAAAAACCTATTTAACCAGACCCTCTAACTTCTAGTCTCATATCTCCAATTGCCAACTGGACATCTCAAACTCAGCGCATCCAAAATTGAAGGCATTATCTTTTCCCCAAAAACACCCTTCCAAACTTCACTATAGTATGTGTGTGTGTGTGTTGTGTGTGTGTGTATATCTCCAGTATATACATATACACACATATACATATACATACACACACATATACATATCTCCAGTATATATATATATAGACCTATATCTCCAGTATATAATATATATATATAATATATCCAGTATACATATATGTATATATAGATCCATATCTCCAGTATATATATATATAGACCTATATCTCCAGTATATAATATATATATATAATATATCCAGTATACATATATGTATATATAGATCCATATCTCCAGTACATATATAAAATTGCCAGTATCTCTATCTATATCTTCTACATATAGATATAAACATATACATATATATCCAGTATATATCTATCTCCAGCATATATATATATCTCCAGTGTGCATGTATATAAATATATATATATACACACACATATATATATTTCCAGTATATATATCCATCTCCAGCATATATAATATATATCTCTAGCATATATGTATCTCCAGTATACATATATATATACACACATATAGAATATATGTATATGTGTGTGTATATACATATATACACATACACACAGACACACACACATTTTATATATATATATATATATATATATATATATATATATGTATATATCTCCAGTATAGTATATACCATTCTTCGAGTCCCCCAGGCTCACTACCTAGGTATCATCCTGAATTCTTCACTGTCTCTCAAACCTCCTCTCTCCTCCCTCATATTC